TTTAGAGCGGGTTTTAATAAAGTTTACTAAATCATCAATGGTAGGTATTATCGAGCTATGATTGTATTCGAAAGATTGAATGGTATCTGAGTCGAGCTTCTTTAGCGCGATATGCAGAACAATTAAGTCCGCGAGATTATCCAACTTTAAGCTTTGTAAAGCGCGCACTGCACTTATAAAGTTACCAGTAAATACATCAAAGTTATTTGCTGTGGACGATTGCAATGGCTTAAACTCGAACATCTGATTTATATACGCGGAGGCTAGCATACGCTTGTCTTCGTATTTATCAATGAGTGCTTGTAATAAAGTTTTATAATTTTCAGCGCATGGAGTTATACCTGAGCACACAGACAGTGCCTTTCCCGTCAATTTACCTAGCAGATGGTATAACTTTTCAGCGTCAGTGAGTGATGGGTTGTCATGGACGGTTGATTTAAAGCTGGCATAAAATAAAGGCCATGAGCGAATGTCACCCGAAAACGTCATAAGTTCGATAGGCGGAAGTGTAAGCCTAGCATTAGATGGGGCACTAACTAGCATTTTGTAAATTAGTAGACTGCGAATATTGTAAATAAAGCCGATTTATTCTACCGTAAAGAGACTCAAACGTAATAAGGCTGTTATAGTCAGGCTTAGCGATATGGTTTATTTTTAATAAATGCGAATTATAGTTATCTACCTAGTTAGTTATCGACCCCACGGACCGATAGTCTCTACAGGAAATGGCTCAAATATGTACTCATCTCTCAGTGACTAATATTTGCGCCACTTACTAGCCTCTGATGCCGCCCCGGCTCTAAACAAAGTACCCGTGAAATGAGAGGCCACCAAAGTGTCTACGAAAGTAGCATCCCACACTAGGGCTTTACCTCTCCCCCCAAGGGACCAATGTCATCTCGGATCTCTCGGGTCTCTTGCTATCGTCTCTAAATATTCCACAAGGCTTTAAACCTGAGGGAACATTTAAAGAGACAAGATCCATTTGGATGACATCGCTCAAAGAACCATGTCGTGAAAATCTGCCAGCAGTTTTCTCACATGAAAGTCCGTGGTGCCCATACTCGTCGACGCTGCTACCACAGGGGCACTGATGGGGTTGACAAATCGCCGCTCCTAGTTGGATTCGTACGGCGATGCGCAAGATTTCGCTATCAAGTAATTTGCCAAGATTACTGGATGGTAAAACGTGTAACCAGTGGCTAGATTCCTTAGTCGAAACAGCTAGAAGGTGTGCCTTATCTTGCTCACTATGGAAATTATGCTACATTTTTTTCTGTTCGATCTCTACCAACGGGATATCTCACTGTTTTTATTGGTTAACTTCCAGTGGAACATTTTCGGCGGGACAAGCGTTCGCCATGTCTGCTCTGCCTCCATAACAAAACACAGCTCTACTTAATTATTCCAAATAATGTTACGTAAGTCATTGATACTATGCACGGAAGCAAGGAAAGCAGGCAATGCAACGCTAGAAAGATTTCTCACACCAATACCACCAAATTTTATAGGTAAAGTAGTTTGATTCCAGGCTGTTTTATTTAAAGTTAAATTTAGATTTTTTTCCTTAGCGATTTTGAGATTATTATCCATATCTCTTAAAATATCCAAACATTTTCAGACTAGACCCGAGCGGAGTATGTAAATCTAGGTACAAGGAGGCAATATTTTAAAATAGTAAGAGTAATTTGGAGGTTAAATTTATACAATTTATCAACGTCGTTTAAAAACTCATCAAGTTTTGTATTTTAAAACAGTTTTAATACTATCGAAAAACAACGGGCACCTAGCAGGTATAGCGATACCGTACTGACAGTTTTTATTCCTGGAGAAATATGATTGAAATTTTGAATTGAAGTATCTCTGTTAGACCTAGATAAATTATTGGAAAAAATATTTCACATTAATTGCTATTTGGTTAAAGACCAATATTTTTAAAATTTCGAAAAATATGAGTAAGATCACTGAGGACGTCAGCTGCTCTACCTCCCAGTGTACCGTCGTACAGTTACTAGATATTCAGGTTAATTAATCTAATTATAAAAGTACAAACATTATTTACAATAATTAAATTTTAATAATATTTAAAATATGAAAATAAAAAAAAACACAGAGTACATTTGAGCTAAAAATTAAAATATTGTTATTACTAGTGATAAAATGAGTTTGGTTTTAAATATTAAATTTATGTAAATATTTATAACTAGCTAAATGTTCCGGTTTTGTCTGGATAGGATCTTTAAATAATGTGGTGTATGTTGTACTTATGAATCTTTCTTCAAGTTTGTCGGATAAAATATAGCCTAGGTCTCTCATCTCAATCGATTACCATTTTTTCAAATGTCCAAATTGAGGTCCAAAATAAGTTCATAGACTCTGTAATCCAGATCCCACGAATTCTATCACAAAGGTTTATGTGAATTTTCCTCGGGATGGCAGAAATATATGATAAATAGAGTAAATACTTTTTTTCTCAAAATACTAGTAATACTATTTGTTACGGCCTACGGCTGCTCCTCCAAAGGTTCAATCATCCGGGGCCCATCAGCGGAGACTTCACGAGCAGACGCAGGTCGGGCCTCAATATGGCCGCGGGGAATATGTTCTATCACAATAAACTATATGGGAGAAAGCTAGACACACATAGTTTTTACCATTATCCGAAGCTAACTTCGCACCAAGGCTTGGGCGGGCCGTGAGTGTGTGTAATAGTAGATGGCGAGTAGTGTACAATGAGGTGTAAATGTCTGCGACCTGAGCAAGCTTAGGCGACCAGCAGCGGCCGAGTTCCAGGCTGCCCCAAAATGCTGCATCGCTCCAGCAGGCTCGATCGCTGGACCATTTCTTTCTTCGTTGTCACTAATTCAGTCTCTTAGCTTCATTGTACATTTAACTAACTAAAATTCGCCTAATTCCACATTCATAGTAGAATCGAACACGTGATACCCGACAGATTCAGCGTTAAACACAACTAAGTTCCTTCATTCGACACCAGAACAACACGTCGCGCAAGATTCAAAATACGCCTCGTTGACACGCGAATTAATCTAACTAGCCAACCAAAACACAAAAGGGGCACTAAACGCGACGACACAATTATAATGATATCTTGACAATTAATCGGGAGAAGCTCTCAAACTAGGAATGCGTGGCTCGAATATCTACTAGACACGTGTACACTATTCCGCACTCCCGCCCTAGTTAAATATCGCACAATTCACATATCTACGTGACGAAGCAGCACGTACTTCATCTAGCTATCTAGATCCACGACGGGCCGTGAATTTTGAGCCTGACGGTCTCCCCGCCTCATGGCTGGCGGGGCACCGACGTTTTGCCCACGCGTCGAGCGACTGACTGCTCACGCGTCGAGCGACAGACTGCCCACGCGTCGAGCGACAGACCTTCACCTCGGAGTTTTTCTCACCTGCATACCATCGGGTGAGGCGCCAGCTCGAACGCAATTGGGTGACGTTAAAACATGACCAAATTTGGGCATAAACACTATTAAACATTACTAATATTCCCTTAAGCCAACCTTAAAGTTTAAAATGCTTGTGTTAGAAGTGAATCACCTTTCGAGTTCGCGGTCTGCGTCTTGCCTATTACTGCCGTTTAATAACTTTGATCAAATAAATGTAGTTTTCTTTTAATTGTGCTTGGAGAGTTCGAAATAATGGCAATTTCATAATTAAACCCATAATAATTTTTATTTAATACATGATTAAAAACAATAATTCACAGAATTCGCCTCTTAAAGCCATTCTTTTACTTATAATCATGATGGAAATTGGTCGTCCCTAAACGAAGATAACAAATTTTATAAGCTATGTTTGTTATGCGTGATTACAGAAAATTTAGTCCTTATGTAATGTAGAAAGCCAGGCCTTCTGTGGTACACATGGTATTAATTTAAATGTATTTTAATAATTTTGAAATATTATCTGCCTGTGCTATTAAATTACATCTTAAAGATTCGACTTTGTATGTTCAGTAGTATTTGTTAAGATTCATTCAATTCTTTAACCATTTTGAAGTTTTTTGTAACCTAAGCCACAATAAATAATAGTACTACAAACAGAAGTTGCACTCCTTTGATGTTGACTGCTTTGCCGATGTTTTAATAGCCTGCATAGTTGATATTAATCAGATAAATCACGCATGCTTTACGGTATTATTACTCTGCATCTTTTCTCCTTTCTACGTCACAACGGACTTTCCGTGGTTACTAAGCTGTTAATAAAGAGTAAACAAATACATTGTGAAATGGTAAGTAAGTTACTGAGGTAAAGTACCTATTCTGACTATGATCATCCATATTTCCGCTACTATGTGAGTTCTGTTCGGTTTTATTTTAGTGTAAACAACAAATAAAACCGAAATACGATTCCTAACAGAAATGTGATTAATGGTATTCTACTTAGTTAAATTTTTTTTAGCGTAGTTTTAATTTAAATATTTTGTGTTATTATAACTTAAATTATTTTAATTACAAAATACAGTATGTAAAGTAGGGAAGTGAAGAAAATTTCAATCAAGTTTTGTAATAAAGTATTTAGGTATTACCAGGGCGGGTCAATAAGTCCGTAACTTTTTGAATTTCTGACCTCTTTACTGAAAAAGCAATACTACTCCTGTCAACAGGCATCTATCAGTTGACTCCTGTCATAATTTGAACTTGCTGCGTCAGTTAGTTTGTGTTTGACAGCTATCTTTATCAGACTACCCAGTAATTTGAGGAAAAAATGGAAAAAAGTGAATTTGGTGTGCTTATTAAGCATTATTTTTTGCGAAAATATACCATTACTGAGACCAAGGCTAAGCTTGATAAATACTATGGGGACTCTGAACCATCGATTTAAATGGTAAAAAAGTGGTTTACTGAATTTCGTTCTGGCCGTATAAGCACTGAAGATGCCGAACATCCTGGACGCCCAGTTGAGGTCTCTTCACCCAAAACAATCAAAAAAATTCACGATATGGTGTTGGCCGACTAAAGATTGAAAGTGCAAGAGATTGTGGAAGCCATAGGGATCTCGCATGACTCAGTGGTTTCAATTTTGAATGATCACTTGGGCATGAGAAAGCTTTCCGCAAGATGGGTGCCGCGTTTGCTCACAGTCGACCACAAACGCAATCGTGTAACAACTTCACAGGAAGGTTTGGCGTTGTTTAATCGCAATATGGAGGAGTTTTTGCGGAGTTTTGTAACCGTGAACGAAACATGGATCCATCACAATATACCAGAGACCAAACAACAGTCAAAACAGTGGGTTTCTAAGGGTGAATCGGCGCCAAGGAAGGCCAAGGTGGGTTTGTCAGCCAATAAAGTTATTGCGACTGTTTTTTGGGATGCACGCGGGATAATCCACATTGACTACCTTCAAAAGGGAAGAACAATCAATGGGGAATATTATGCCAACTTATTGGACCGATTCAATGACAATTTGAAAAAAAACCGACCTCATTTCGCCAAGAAAAAAATTCTTTTCCACCAAGACAATGCAAGGGTGCACACATGTGCAGTTGCCATGGCAAAAATTTATGAATTGGGCTATGAATTGCTCCCTCATCCGCCCTATTCTCCAGATTTGGCTCCGAGTGACTACTTCTTGTTCCCAAACCTGAAGAAATGGCTTGGTGGAAAAAGATTTGACTCCAATGATGAAGTCATCTCGCAAACAAAGGCCTATTTTGAGGACCTCGACAAATCATATTTTTTGGAAGGGATGAAAAAATTGGATAAGCGTTGGACAAAGTGTATAGAGCTCAAGGGAGACTACGTTGAAAAATAAAATGATTATTTATCAAAAAATCTGTGTTTTATTCTAAAAGTCACGGACTTATTGACCCACCCTCGTATTTATGTAGTTAAATTATTGCTTAATTCTTTTTTCGCTACAAGTACCTATCTAACTAAAAAAAAATACTTTTATTCACCTTTCATTATAGTTCGGTAACTTAAAAAATTATATATATGAATCCTTTTGTTTGACGAACATTTGCACCACCAACGGGAAGTCAACCACTTCAAATAAATATAAAGAAATATTTTAAATTTGTATTATTAAAAAAATTAAAAAGTTTTTTTTAATAATACCAATTAAAATATTTTTATGAATATATTTAATTATTTTGTTTTTGATGAAATAATGTTTGGCAATGATTGGTTTTAAATTATAGTCGTGATTATATTAATGAATTTCTTTAAAATGATAATAAATAATTTTCTGAACTTAAACACCCACAATCATGACAATGTAGCGCATATTGCGATGATAGTTGCTTTAACACGTTATATTTTTTTGAAAGTTTCGGTATTAGTTTACATAAACTATCAGTGTTAGCTACTTATTTTGATACACGATTCCATCGCTCAATTAGCACGGAATTTAACAACTTATATTTTACACGTTTCGTAACTTTCATCTATCGATATCACCTGCACGAATATCGGAGAAATCTAGTCCTTTTCTTTAGAGAGGTATGAATACAGTTATCTTTGTGGGAAGGTTCACTTTTGGTACCTTTTACAACACAGTTTTATAACCATATTTATACAAGTAGGGGTGACGAACGAGCACATCTGCGTGGAATGGTTGTTGTGGCTCATGGACATCTACATATCGACAATATTTGTCAATGTGATTTTTTTTTATTAGCTAGGGTGACAAACGAGCACACAGTCCACCTGATAGTATGTGGTTGCTGCGACCCATAGACATCTACATCCATCCTCAATAAAAAATAAAAATGCAGATGCGTCTTCACCCGTGAGGACTAAGACGGAATGCGTCTTTTCGAGTAAAATGTGTCTCCGGTTCTCTACACTTACCATACGAAACACAGCAGTGTCAAGCTGCTATTTTACTGAACGCGGACGAGGCCCGAGTGTCCTGGCCCGTCAGATGCGCAGACCTGCGCATCATGGGTCGGGACGACTCGGTATCGGAGGAGGAGTTGGTGGCCGCCGTCGCCAAGTCCGGGGGGTGCACTACTGACCAGGTCAGGTCAGGCGCTATACGCCCGGACCAACAGGGTATGCATGCCGCCACGGTGTGCTGCCCTGCTACGGCGGCCAAAACCATAGTGGAGGGCCGAAGGCTTCTGGTGGGCTGGGTCTCAGCGCAGGTTAAGCTGCTGGAGCCCAGACCTCTGAGGTGCTACCGCTGTCTCGTGGGGCATCACGTATCAGCGAAATGCGCCTCGGAGGTTAACCGCAGTGGCCTCTGCTTCCGCTGCTGTCAGCCCGGTCACATATCGGCGACCTGCTGTGCCACGCCGCACTGTGATGCATGTGCGGCGATCGGCAAGCCAGCCGATCACTGGGCCAGGAGCAGGGCCTGCGTGTCACCCGCCAAGGCCAAGGCCGCGGGTAGGGGAGGGCCCTCCTCCGCCGCCACCGCCTCTATGGTCACCGCCGCAGCTGCAACTGCCGCCGCCGCCGCTGTCACTGTCGCCGCCGCCGCCGCCGCCGCCGCCGCGACACCGACGCCTGCAGAGGGGCGCCCCGTGGAGGAAGCTGAAATGGAATGCCTATAACGGCCCCATTAAGCTTCCTCCAGGCGAATATCAACCACTGCGCCTGCGCTCAGGATCTGTTGCTCCAGAGCATGGCGCAGTGGTCGATTAACATCGCTGTGGTCGCTGAGCCGTATTCTGTCTGGCCTAGGAAGGACTGGGTGGCGGACCTTAACGGCTCAGTGGCCATCATTTCTTCGGCCGCCGCCGGTACCCCGACCCTTGAAGGTGTCAGGAGGGGTCAGGGGTGCGTAGCAGCACGGTTCGGGGAGTTCGTCGTTGTGGGGGTGTACTTCTCCCCGAACCGATCTCTCGCCGAGCTCCACAACTCTCTTGCAGAGCTGAGAGCAGTCGTCGTCGGAAGCTATCCCCTCCCCGTGCTTGTCCTCGGGGACTTCAATCCCAAGAACTTGGCTTGAGGTTCTCGTCGTACAGATGTGCGGGGTAGGATGGTGGAAGACTGGGCTCTGGAGACAGGCCTGGTCGTCCTAAATCGGGGTTCTGTACCCACGTGTGTGCGGATGCGGGGCGAGTCGGTGGTGGACATTTCGTTCGCTAGCCCCGCTCTGTCGCCGCGTGCCATTGACTGGCGAGTCATGGAGGGGGTGGAGACCTACTCCGACCACCGGTACATCCGGTTTGACGTCTCCACCCAGCCCTCGAGCGCGCCAGTCCAACAGGCCCCGAGTGGTCCGCGTTGGGCGCTGAAGCAGCTGGACCGGGAGCTCCTCCTGGAAGCCTCGATCGTGCAGGCCTGGGTGTCATCACCGGATAGGCCTGCCGACGTCAATGATGAGGCAGGGTGGTTCCAGGAGGCCATGTCCGAGATATGTGACGTGGCAATGCCCCGCGTCTGGCCAGGAAGCGTCCGGCGCCAGGTGTATTGGTGGTCGCGTGAGCTGACGTCTCTACGCGAGGCGTGTGTCGCCGCGCGGCACCTGTACGCCAGGCATCGCAGGCTCCGCATTCGTCCACCGAATGCGGCAGCCATTGAGGCGGTGCTCTACGAGGGATACAGAGCGGCGAAGACCGCCCTCCGGGAGGCTGTCATGCGGGCCCGGGATCGGGCCCGTGAGGAGATGCTGGAGACTCTCGACAGAGATCCGTGGGGGCGCCCTTACAAGATGGTGCGGGATAAACTCCGCACCTGGGCTCCCCCGCTGACGCAGAGTCTTCGGCCTCAGCTCGTGGAGGACGTGGTGATCGCTCTGTTTCCTGCGCGAGGGGAACACCCGCCCCCGCCTATGGCTCCGCCACCTGCGGTGCCGGAAGCGGACCACCAGGACGACGACGACGGCATCACGGAAGGGACCGGGGTAGACCTGAGAGTGGCGGTACGTAGGCTTAAGGCCAGGAATACCGCCCCAGAACCCGATGGCTTGCCTGGCAAAGCCTGGGTCCTGGCCTCGGAGGCTCTCGGGCCCCGACTGGAGGGGCTCCTAAGCGCATGCTTGGAGAGAGGCCAATTCCCGCTTCGTTGGAAGACGGGGAAGCTGGTCCTCATTCAGAAGCCGGGGCGCCCTGCGGACTCTCCGTCCGCATACCGGCCCGTGGTGCTGCTCGACGAGGTGGGCAAGCTCTTTGAAAGAGTCATTGCAAACCGCCTCGCCGAGCACCTTGCGGGGACGGGGCCGGATCTTGCGGAACACCAGTTTGGTTTCCGCAAGAGGCGCTCTACGGTGGACGCCATCATGCGCGTGAGAGCCCTCACGACGGGGGATGCAGTGGCCAGGGGGGGGGTTGTTTTGGCGGTGTCTCTCGACATCGCCAACGCCTTCAACTCCATGCCCTGGAGCTGCATTATGGAGGCACTCCGGTATCACCGGGTGCCGACCTATCTCCGTCGTATAGTCGGAGACTATCTGACGGCTAGGGCCGTCATCTACTCCGGTCGCAACGGTGAGTGGAACCGGCGAGAGATGTCGTGCGGTGTCCCACAAGGTTCTGTTCTGGGGCCGCCCCTGTGGAACATCGGTTACGACTGGGTGCTGCGCGCCGACCTCCCTACCGGCGTCAGCGTAGTTTGCTACGCTGACGACACGCTGGTACTGGCACAGGGGGGGTCGTACGAGGCGGCGGCGGAAAATATGACACGCGGGGTTGCGATAGTCGTTGAGAGGATCCGGCAGCTGGGTCTTGAGGTGGGTCTGCACAAGTCCGAGGCCATGCACTTCCATGGTCCTCGGAACAGGCCACCACCGGGATCCTCAGCGATGGTAGGAGGGGTATCCATCGGCGTCGAGTCGACGTTGAAGTACCTAGGACTCGTCCTCGACGGCCGATGGAACTTCGTTGAGCACTTCCGACGTTTGGCTCCCAAACTGGAACGGACCGGGGCTGCCTTCAGGCGGCTCCTGCCGAACCTGGGGGGGCCAAACGCCTCCTGCCGGAGGCTCTACGCGGGGATTGTGCGGTCCATGGCCCTTTACGGGGCCCCGGTGTGGGCGCGTGGTTTGGCGCGGCTTGCCGTCCACCACCTGAACGCGCCCCAAAAGGTGGTTGCCGTAAGAATGGTTCGCGGCTACCGCACGATCTCCCACGAGGCAGCGTGCCTCCTTGCCGGATTGCCGCCATGGGATCTGGAAGCGATAGTCCTCGCGCGCCTGCACGAATGGCGCGCGGAGGCACTATGCCGGGGGGAAACCCCGCTGCCGCGGCAAGTTCTCGTGCAGCGGACAGACTTCCGGCATGATCTCATGGCGACATGGAGAGAGCGACTGTCGCAACCCCGTGCTGGGCACGCCACTATAGCGGCGATAAGACCCCTCTTTGAGGAGTGGCTTGAGAGACGCCACGGCGTCCTCACCTTCCGCCTGACGCAGGTCCTCACCAGACACGGTGTGTTCGGGAGGTTCCTGCACCGAATCGGGCGGGAGGAAACGCCCGGGTGCTCCCACTGCGAGGATCGACCGGAGGACACGGTGGAGCACACCGTGGAGGTGTGCCCTGCCTGGGCGGAGTACCGCCGTGTCCTCGTAGCGGCGACCTCTCGCGTCCGGCCCTGGTCGAAGCCATGGTCCGGAGCGAGACGGAATGGGATGCCGTCACCACCTTCTGCGAAGCAGTGATGCTAGCGAAGGAGGTGGCGGAGCGGGAGAAGGAGAGAGCAGCAGCTTTCCTTCCCGGCCGCCGCGGGAGACGCCCTGGGCGTCGGGGGCTACGTCGTGGCCCCCGGCCACCGTAGGCGCGGGCCTGTGGACGGCGAGCAATGGGTAGCTCGCCGTCCGTCCGTCTAACGACGACAGGCCGTGTCGACGGCGCGTTTTGTTCCACG